TCTGACGTTTTTGAATATTAACCTTGAAATTAACTTTAAGAGTACGGACAAGGGACAAGCAATCGACAAACAGTAACAATAAGATATAACCACAAATGATTTTGAAGCATATCATATGTTTGCCAAACGAGGACATGAATATGTTTTTCGCTTGAAGGTAGAGTCACTAGATGGTATTAGTCGATAAGAGTTCGGACACAGCTGAACTTCTGTCCTTTTCTATTTTCTATATTACAATGGTTTGAGTGAATAAAAGAATGAAACATATATTCTGCACTTTGTCTTTTCAATTTTCCTAGTAGCACCTGATTGTCAGATACGATTCTAGAGGGTAGATTTCCTGTCAAACCAATTGAGCAATACGGCCCTTTTCGCAGAACAGCAGTTATAAAAATGAAAAGAATAGGTATATGAAACAACGTTTAAAGACAAAATAGACATATGGATACACTTATAGCTAGTTCGGTCGGTATTAAAAACGCCATTCAATGATATATCACGTCGCAATTTATTTGATTTCCTCAGTTTCGTTCTTAAGTTTTAAATTTCATTACGTACTTTTTCAATGAATTCCATTTTCTCCATAATAGTTTTGATTTGCATTTCGTGTGATGATAATAATAATGAATTTTATTGTCAAATAGTCTGTTTTGTAAATGAATGGAACAGCAGATTCTCTCAAACGGATCTTAAAATCTTCTATTTGAAAATATGGGCCTAAAATCAGTTTCATTCTAATCTGCTTGTCATTTCTGTGTCCGAACTCTCATCTAACTAATGCCATCCAGTGACTCTAGATAAAGGATCTTTATATCTTCCTTCTCAAGGATGAGTAGTATACAGTCTGTCCAAGATAAGGTTTAACAGCATGGGGATCTCGAAAACGGTAAGAGATACGAAATCGGTTAAATGGGGAAAAAGTTGCGCAGTCGGTGGCTCATATCAAGAGCCTTCGAAAATTTTGAAAATTATTTTTAGTTTTTGAGTTATATCGAAAAAAGTGAATTTTCGGAATTTCTATTTTATTTTTTTTCTCCGTTATTATTAGAGATACAGCAAAACTGAGAATACTTTTTCATAGCAACTTTTGATGACGGTCAACGTGCTGATACCGATTTTTTCATGCGACGTTTCGTATTCGTGGAACCATCATCAACTTTTGTTTTTTAAATACGGTCCTGATAGTTTTTTCACAGATTCTAAAAGGTTTTTTTATTCTGAATTCAACCATGTATTATACAAGGAGGTTCATTTGTGTTTCGACCTGTTTTTGGCCATCATCAATGTTTTTTCGAAACTCCAAAGGAAAAATGCCATCAGTTCCACTTATTTTGAAGGAATATTAGTCAACACACTAATACCTCATCGACTGGTTTCAATCAACAACCCATTTCATTTTGCAGAAACAAAAATTCCATCCATACAAATTCAGAATATGTCAAGCGCTAAAACCAGGCGATGACGAAAGGCGCAAGACATTCTGTGAGTGGTATACCGGGAAATGTTAAAATTTTGCAGATTTCTTTCGAACAATCATCTGGACTGATGAAAGCATGGTCACTAATCATGGTAGCTTCGATAGAAAAAATACACATTATTGTTCACGAGAAAATGAACATTTATACATTACAGCGAGACACCAACACCGTTTCGGCTTTAATATGTGGGTTGCAATATTTGGTACACGAATTATTGTTCCTTCTATTTACCATGAAACACAGACTTCCGAACGTTATAGAAATTCGCTTGAGAATCATCTTGAGGAAGCTCTGGATGATTTACCGATTGCGGAAGTTCAGAACTCTGTTGGTTTCAACAAGATGGCGCTCCGGTACATAATTCCAGAGAAGTCCGTGCGTTTTTATCCCTTGGCCGGCGCGGTCGCCTGATTTGACACAGCTGGATTTTTTCTTAGGGGATATATCGAACTTTGTACACGCAAATAACTTTGAGGATGAAGAAGAACTAAGGGACAGTGTCTTCGAAGCATTCAATAGAATAACCCCAGAAATGCTTAGAAATGTCTTAGAAACAACTGTGAGAAGAGGATATCTTTGTTCAGGAAATAATGGTTATCATTTTGAACATTTGTTATGAATGTATCTGTAGGTATTGTCAAAGTTAAGTTGTTGAAGTAATTCGTGTAAGAATTCACAATTTTAAACGCTGCATTGATCGAATGATGTAGTGAAATATTTTTTATTCACTTTTCAGTATTGAATAACTAATCTATCAAGTTTGACACTAAATGATAAGAAATAAGTGGAACTGATGGCTTTTTTTCTTTTGGAAGTTCGAAAAAACATTGATGATGGATAGAAATAGGTCGAAACACATTCGAATCACCTTGTATAGTACATTGTTGAATTCAGAATAAAAAAACCTTTCAGAATCTGTGAAAAAATCATCAGGACCGTATTTAAAAAACAAAAGTTGATGATGGTTCCACGAATACGAAACGTCGCATAAAAAAATCGGTATCACCACGTTAAACCTTATCAAAAGTTGCAATGAAAAAGTATTTTCAGTTTTTCTGTATCTCTGATAATAACGGAGAAAGAAAATAAAATAGAAATTCCAAAAATTCACTTTTTTCGATATAACTCAAAAACTAAAAATAATTTTCAAAATTTTCGAAGGCTCTTGATATGAGCCTCCGAATGCGCAACTTTTTCCCCATTTAAGCGACTTCGTATCTCCTACCGTTTCCGAGATCCCCATGCTGTTCAACCTCATCTTGGACAGACTGTATAGGTAACATCCAATTTTTGTTATTTGAATGAGAGTGGATATCTCCTCGAGTGAGAAAGGGGGTACGATACATTAAATAATTAAGAATACAAATTGTAAAACAATACCCCAAGTAGGTAATTATTGAATATGATTTTTACTTGAAATATTGAATGATAATAAACTGACAGGTGAGTATGTATGTAGAGACAATAACAGTCGCCTTCACACTGATCAAAATTCTGAATTCTGGAAAATGATAATAATGAAAAATCAAATTAATATCTGGTTGAACATTAATAATGTTAACTTCGTCTATTTGAAGTTCGCAGAGATTCGTTTTGAAATTTCAAAAAAGTGTTACTACTAAATGCCAGTAAATTTTATTATCAACGCTTCTTCCAAACTTTTTGCATTTCATCTTTAATATTCAATTTCACATTTCTAGATATATCATGCTCATACACATAGCAAATTTACTATAATTGACATTATTTAATTTTTGAAATGTTCTTCGAATGCAAAAGTTTTTCATAATTTTGTTTATCAAAACTATGAATCTTACTCAAAATTGCCTGCATATTCTAATTTTCCGTTTTCTTGCATTCTTCTGAAGTTATGTGTTGATTTTGTTTAAAATCTTAACTAAGGTTTAGGTAAAAGTACCTAGTTGTGCTATAACTGTAATTTTGGTATCAAATCATATTGCTCAATTCATTTTGCAACTCACTATCTTGCTCTTTGGTATTCGTTTCCTGAATTCTTCACTGTTTTTTTCTATTAAACCATGAATTTTTTAATATTTCATTTATTGTCAGTTTCCGCTATTTTTATCTATTTATTTGTGGTTATGTCTAACTGTCAGTGCTTGTCAGAGTGTCCGTACTCTGAATAAACAGAATAGTATCAAATACATTAAGGTACTCTACTAGTAACTACTTTCTGAATACTTGATATTAAAGTTATTTTGAGATGAATACTGTCAGATTAATGATATTCCGAATGATAGTCATATTCAGAGCAATCCAGTATTCCAATTATCAGACCAGTCGATTTCACATAACAAAATATTTGGTTTTGTACAGGGTGAACAACTATGAAAGGCTGTAGACCATATCTCAGGAACGAATAATGATACAAGTTTGAGATAGAATAAATCTAATGGTATGCATATCATTACACGTTGTAATAGAGAAACTAAATCTCAACAGACCAACGAAAACCGCAACATGATAGCTTTTTGCCAACCGAAGATATTAACTATCAAAGTTGGAAGAATGATAGGTATGACAGCCGTTCTTAGTTGTTCACCGGGTATTCTGACATAATTTTCAATGATTAATTTTAACAAATGAAATGTAACTAACTTATATCCCGTCGTCAATAGCAATCACTATTTCTTGATCGAGTGATATCAACTTACTAAAAACGTTCTTATACTCACCACATTGGAAGTGGAAAACATTAATTCCTATTATTGCCATACATATTTGAAATTAATTTCTCAGGTTGAAAACATACATAATAAATTATATTCTCTGTTATGAAGCTAGTAGTGGAAAGTGTCATTATATTTATTTATTTATTCAAATCAGTTGCTAAGTTCATATGATCAAAATGCTTTATGAAATATGAGTCCACCACGAAGTATTAACCTTATTATAAACATTTTGATTGATGCAATAATGCTTGAGAGTGAATTTACTGTTCACGTGATAGACTCACCCTGTATTTACATATACGAATCATTCTTCAACTATGTTCTAGTAACTGTTTGATATGTGAGATACTCAACATTTTTGATCGATGATGCTTATTTATACAACAATACTAGTAAACTTTCGATTCAAATCCAAATGATTTTATATAATATTTTCCTAGAACATATAATTTCAATGAACAGGTTGGTTCTAATCGATGATTATTCATAAACAGAATTACTAGTGCATTAGGATTGATTTCAGAGTGAAAATATCACTATCTATCTGTTATATCAATGTAGCTTGTTAGAAATATATTTTTTCATTGAGATGATAAATAATACGCATCGTTTTTGATAAAACTGGTTTTCGAAGAAAACATATCATTCCTTATCTGAATATTTTCGTGACCTTCTCAATAATGACGTTATTAGCCACAATATTTACCTACAGTTTTGTTTTCCTGTTTTCAATCGTAATTACGAAAAATATGTTTGCAAAAAATAGATTGTACAATTTTATTTTCTGTTTCGTGTAACTCTTTTTGAATGGATTTCATGTACTTTTCAGGTACCACTGCACAAAGAACCAGAATGGCTATGGAACACTCTGAACAGGTGGCTTCAAACCTGTGAAAAGAAACCAATTAAAAATATGCCCGAATACGTGAGTGACATAATGGAGAAAACCGATTTGAAAACCGAGGCGAATTGGCTCAAAAATAGACTGGAAACCGAAGACTGTTCTGTAGTTTTTTGTCACAACGATATGCAAGAGGGAAATATTTTGATTTCCAGGGATGCGGACGCAAACATGGAAGACCCTGAACTTGTAATAATTGGTGAGTTTTTTTTATCGCTTGGAGCGCACGAAAGGGAATCCCTATAGTGTTCAGAGAACATCGTGCGTTCCTAGGGAGGATAGGGATAGGAGGTAGGTATTGGATTTTTTTTAACTTCTGGAGATTATATGTTGTTGGGAATACTTCCTCAGGCAATGAATTCCAGAGCCTAGCCGTTCTATGGATGAAGGAGTTTTGATAAAGGGCTTGTCTAGTTCGTCTGACTGGTATTGCTAGTGACGGGATGATAGCAGAGATTTCCGAAGCACATTTCCCGTGGAAGTATCGATAGAAAAGTGAAAGGTCGCCGACCTTTCTACGGTGTTCCAATGATGTCAAAGAGTGAGTGAGTGAGTGTGGCGTCACCCACCAGGCGGATGGCTCTTCTCTGGATGGAATCTAAGAGCATCAGCGTATGTTTTGGTGCTGAACCCCATATGTGGGAACAGTATTCTAGAACAGGCCGTATCTGCGCTTTGTAGATCATGATAAGCTGTTGAGGTGTAAAGTAGCTTTTCGCACGGAACAAGAATCCGAGTTTTTGTGAAGCAGCTTTTGCGATGGATCTGACATGATTATCCCATGAAAGAGTGTTGCTGATGGAAATACCGAGCATAGATATGGTGGGCTTGGTGGAGATGGTGGTGCCAGACATCGATGGTGATTTCTGATACACATAAAAAGTCCGGCAAAAAATATGTGAACCCACAGCATCATATTTAAGTTGCAATCCTGATCTAATGGGTATCAATTTGAAAGTTCCTTTCGAATGATACTTAATGTTTGTTATACAAGGTGTTTACTGTTGTTCGCTTGGACTATTCTAAAATAATATTTTGTCCTTTGATTATTTCAGAAAATCCTCTTTGTTTCGAAGGTACAAGGGAAACATTTTCGAGAAAAATAATCTTGATATTTTAGAAATTGTTAATAGTCGAAATATAAGTACTACACCAAGTACCAAGGGTTGGAATAAGTCATGAGTTTTATAAAAAAGTCAAAAAAGTCTGACTTTTTGAATTAATTCGGACTTTTTTGAATTAATTCATTTGAGAACAAATCAAATTCTATTTACTTGAACAAAATACAAGAACATCGAAAAAACTAAGTTTTTATTTCCGTTAAAAATCTCAAAGCGTGACAATAAAATACTCAAAATATGCAATTTTTGCAATATAAACTGAGACTATTGATTGAATGAAAAATGATGTTTATGCAAATTATATTACTCATTCACAATCTTCATTATAGAGGCGCTTTACAGTTATTTTCAATAAAATGCAGCAACTTCCATGGCGCGCCTACGGATTGGTGTCCCCTTGGAAAGCAATTTTTCGATGCATTGCAAGAAATGAATCCGGACATATTTATTTATATTGTGGTAATTTGTATTACTGGTGCAATTCTAGTGGTGACATGTTAGATTTTCGGAATTTCACGCATCATTAGATACACATTGGATCTTACTTTTCTTGCCTTTCTCATGGTTTCTTCTACCCAACTCTTGACCCAACTCAAAACTCGGTGAGAAGTTATACACTGAATCTATGACAAAAAGACATTGCAAGCCGGTAATTCCGATTCAGTGTTGAAAAGCCTACATATTATTTTTGCCGGAAATATGAATTGGAGCAATCAATTGCATGCAATGAAATATTGTAAACTGTAAAGCGGCTCTTAGAAAATTTTGTTTTCCGCGTGTGGTGCTTCACGGTTGTCAGTTGTCAGATGCCATCGGATATTTCATTTTAAACTAGTTTAAATTGAAGGTAATAATGCGATTTGTTCCCATTTGATAAATCTTGAATTAATTCACGACTTACTTGAATTCACGAGTTAAATCACTGACTCAATTCATATGAATTAATTCGTGTCAACCCTGCAAGTACCTATATATTTTTTAAATTTCCATACTTACTAAACGACTATTTTTCCACTTGAAACAGGCAAGTTCAGACCAAAAAAATAGAAATACCTATTAAACTTGGAGGTAGTCATTTTCAATAGTTCTTGTAGATTGGTAACATTAAGATGTATTTTTTGGAAATGGAATGTTATTGTTGTTATTGTCTAAAATTCCGTTTGCCCTGTATCTCTAAACAAAACGGATGTTCAAATATCATCAAAGAACAAAAGATTCTTAGAATATTCCAAGAAATAACAACCCTTTGAATTTTTCGGAATTTTTGCCGCATGTTTATAAACATTATAAGCATAATATCGCATACCAATATATTCTGTATCTTGACATTTATTCAAATATCATCATATTCACGAACACTGGGTTCATAAAAACCATGAAGGTAGTTTAATATAATGATTGGCATCGATAAAAAACTCGTGAACTAAATCGTGACCTTCAAAACAATGAGGTTTTTAATGAATTCACTGTAGAGTGTCATTTAATTGCATCTTGAAGGTGATTCAACAGTTAAACAACAGAGCAAAATACGGTGATCATCGCTGTGACAGATTTGTAACTATAAGAAAATATTTTCAATAAGTAGGTAGGTATATTTATTTTCAACCAATATTATTTACTCTATTATCATAAATACAAGTTCGAATTCATGTATAGAAAAATTCGATAAATGTTTTCTTGTAAAGAGATGGCGCCACAAAGACAAGACGTTTACGTATTTAATCAGGGCCTACTCTATCTCACAGGATATCCCTTTTCGTGGGAACCGGAACATAAAAAAAAGAGAAAAAAAGTTCATGTTTTCAATTTTTTGCCAAAGTTCTATTCGAGGTTCTATTTCACCTAAGTTTTATGTGACTTCGTTCTCAGTTTATATAAGTTAGTATTATATAAATCAAATACACCAAATTGAGATTATTCGTTTCCTTCTATATAGATGTATATAGGTATTTGTTATCGATATAGTATCACAACTCATTATTTGAATGAAACACTTTTTATTTTAAAATGACACATCTCACATTAGTATAGGTATCAGGCTGACTTTAGGAAATTTTGCACATTATAATAAATAATATAAGGTAAAAACTTCATGATGAAGCAAAACTATCGAATTTCTGAAGGGAGAGTAAATCTCAAAATCATCTCCAGAGATTTACTCTTCCTTCAAACACTACCACTCCACTTTGAGCAATATGGACTTCTTCACACGTTTATCGAATTTCTGTTTTCCATGATCATTTCATGATAGGTTATTTGATATAATGCAAAACTTAAAATGATCCTCCTTAGTTTCGACATATTCTAAGTTACGACACTTTTGAAGCGGGAGTGCGATATGCTCAGTAGGTTGTTCGAGAAATGGATGGATTGATCCATGTTTTTCTAACTGAATTCCTCTTTTCTCATTTCAGATTTTGAATACTGCTCGTACAACTATAGATCCTTCGACATTGCGAACCACTTCGCGGAATGGGTCTACGATTACACCGAACCCAACCATCCATTCTTCAAGGAGGATTTGACCAAGTATCCGTCTGAAAAGCAGAGATTGGACTTCATCAGGGCGTACTTGCACGAGAGGGGCTCCCGAGAGAACCCGAAGAAGGTCATGAGAGAGGTGGAGGTGTTCACTTTGGCTTCACATTTATTCTGGGCGGTATGGGCCCTCATCAATGCCAAGACCTCACAGATTCCATTCGGATACTGGGTAAGCCGAATAACTCATCCATTGTCGTTCTGAATGAAATGAGTATTTCTACACCAAGGTAGTAAAGAAAATCATAATTACCCAGGGACCAAGATCATATTCCGACCCAGACAGCACCAGATACTCCATTAATCTCCCTATCATATTCCTTTTGGAATATCCTAGGAATGATGGAATATTCTAGAATATCTGTGGAATATTGTTTTAATATGCAAATGGAAATACCTCAGATGTTCATTGAATATGTCCAGAAAAATTATCTATGTTGAATGTTCATACATACTCTAAAATAAAAAAGTGATCAAATATGGGATCCAACCCCTGACTTCCAGACTATCTGAGCAACGCCTCAACTACTAGACCAGTTATCCATTTGAATAATGTTGTACATATCAATTTCTTGTAAGAGCGTTGTTCAGAACATTAAGTGAAGGTCTATAGTGAACGAACGTATTCTAACACCCCCGCTTCATGTGATATTCCTGGTGATCGGCATCAATCCTATCTTCCTAGTATTCTGAATTAACTTTTCTCCACATAGGTAGACCTTTCGTCAAAGAGTCAGCTAGCATATCGTGAGTTCTATTGAATGGATAACAATATCACCATCACTCTGTTTGTCTCTCACAAAATGATATCGTATATCGATATGTTTCGTACTTGGCCTGAAACCTCCAGTCTTGCTTATATCAACTGCCCCTTTATTGTCACAATAAATGATCATTTTGTGACAACACTCCGGAATAATATCCCACTGAGCAAAGTTGAAAGCTATGATGTTGATGCAAAGGTGAAGTGTGATAATGTAGCGTTGCAGCGATATTACATGTTGTTGAGAGATTGCTGGGACGTTATAGTTACAAATTTACATTCGCAATATTACTGAACGTCTGTTTCAGTAATTGCTACAACATTGCATCAACATAGCTTAAAAATTTGCTTAGTTGCGGGATATTTCAAGAGCTCTTTCAAAAAAATTGGTTTCTGGGTCGCTGCCTCAACGCCATGTACTCTTTGGAAGAAGTCCATGGTAACTCAAAGTGGAGTGGTGTAGTTCATAGATGAAAAACCCAAAGTCATCTCCACAACTTTTATTGAAATGATCAAAGATCATCAATGGTACATGTTTCGGGCTTATATAAGCCCATCATCAGCCGATAAAATAGTTCAAAGTTCTAGAAAAAACCGGTATTGACTTAGGATATAAATGCAATGATTGATTACTTACATGGAAGTGAAAAAAGTTGAAATTCAAATAACGTGAACAATAACAGAGCAAACAAAGGCAACTGCTCCATGATCTGGAATACAAACAGTTAAATTGATATGTAAAGGAAGTTCGGAATCGGAAAACTTACTGTTAATGTAAAATAGTGTTTTTATAAAAAGTATAATTTTTTTTTTAAATTCTTATGAAATGATCATTCAAGGGTCGGGTTCATATTTTATAAGGGCCCACGTGCCCTTAAATCGCCGAAAAGTGGCGATTACCCAAGAAAATATCAAACTAATGAAAAGTATGATGTGGCTTCGGAAATAACCAGCTAAATAGGAGGAATTACATGTGCAGTGACACTGACAAAAACAGTTGAAATTTTGTGGTGTCAGTGTCACTGCACATGTAATTCCTCCTATTTAGCTGGTTATTTCCGAAGCCACATCATACTTTTCATTAGTTTGATATTTTCTTGGGTAATCGCCACTTTTCGGTGATTTAAGGGCACGTGGGCCCTTATAAAATATGAGCCCGACCCTTGAATGATCATTTGATAAGAATTAGAAAAAATATATATATATACTTTTTATAAAAACATTATTTTACATTAACAGTAAGTTTTCCGATTCCGAACTTCCTTTACATATCTATTTAACTGTTTGTATTCCAGATCATGGATTGTTTGCTCTGTTATTGTCCACGTTATTTGAATTTCAACTTTTTTCACTTCCATGTAAGTAATCAATCATTGCATTTATATCCTAAGTCAATACCGGTTTTTTCTAGACCTCTGAACTATTTTATCGGCTGATGATGGGCTTATATAAGCCCGAAACATGTACCATTGATGATCTTTGATCATTTCAATAAAAGTTGTGGGTATGACTTTGGGTTTTTCATCTTTGGGCCATGCACTGGCTTCGGTCGTCGAAAGTGCTACTGCTGATTGTTTCCGTGATGACCAGCTCACTGCTCCACTGCATAAAATGACAACATATCCAGCAGTAGATTTTCGATCATCCATACATCCAGCCCTGTTAGAAGGGAATGATTCTGCAGTGAAATTTACGCAATATGCACTGATACACAATGTTGAATACGGTTTTATCAGGATGAACTGAAGATGGTGTAGAAACTCCTATCAAATCTCTTATCTACTGTTTTTCGGTCAAAGTTTTAAACCTACGGCCTACTTGATAGAAGGATTAATTCTTTTCAATATCGCGGAATATAGGTCGCATTTTACCCGTTAGATGGCGAAATCTCAACCAAAATTCAAGGTTGGTGGAATTGATGACTATCGAAATTCCACAAAATTACAGTTGCGTCTTCCAAATTTAATCTCATTTCATTTGATGGTATGTTATGAAAGTTATGATATTATTATTTCTGGTGCAAGCGTCGTTTTCTGTCATGAAAGAAATCTGTAAATAGTTTCGCCATCTTGCGGATAACTGAAAACTAATATGCCATTATTGCAGAATCTGCGGTCAAGCATTTTGAATGAAACAAAACACAGTGTGTCTATCCAACTAGATTTTTATATTCGTAAAACAATTACAAAATACATAATAGTACATTACATAACTAGTGTGGAAAGTGACATATTTCGCGCGAGTGGACGGATATTATATGTCATGAGTGTTTATAAGACCAGAGTAGGGATCATGTTTCTAATCATATTCGATCACATGAAGGTGATATCATCATCATTATTTTTTAATTTTACTTCAATATTTAAATGACATCATTAGTTTAACGTTAACTTAACATTAACTTAATATGAACTCAAAATTAACTCAACATCAACTCAACATTAACTTAAAATTAACCTAACATTGACTTAAAATCAACTCAACATTAAGTCAATAATTATTCAACATCAACTCAACATTAAATCAACATTGACTCAAAATTAACTTGACATTACCTTAGAATCAAATTAACATCAACTCAATATCATTTGACATTAACTTCACATTAATCACTAAATTGCCAATACATTGACATTATTTCAACTTTCAATTGAAATTAAGTTGATTTCAACTTTTCATCAACTTAACATTACGTCAACATTAACGACAATAACTCATGTTAAATCGACACTAACTTTCCATTAACTGAACCATAACTTAACTCACCATAATTCAGCATAATAATCATTCATTGGTACATCATAATCTATAGACCCTGCTACTGTGCGATTTTCGAATATTTCCACCCATGTGAGTTTTACTTTCGAACTTTCTGACTGTTATATGTTGTCATAGTGAAACGAGTCACTTTCTCAATAACAAATCAATGTGTTTTGTGCTGTTTTCATAGGTGGTCGTAGGAAAACAACTATTATCCTAGCAACATTATACCGAGTGAATTCACATGATTAATACAGGGTGTTTCAGTTTTTTGTAGCAGGACTTTGACAGCTTGAAGAGGACATTTTTTAAGATGAAAATCTCACACAAACATATATGCGTGAAAGCTTCGTTCCCGATTTACAGGGTGTCAAAGTTTCAGATTTTTTTTATGTTTTTTGAATTTTCTCCTACGATTTTCGGAATAATTGATTGAAATTTGGTACACCTAATACACTTCAAAAACTCAATATTTGAGGCTATTGAGCGTTTTTAAATACCTACAGGGTGATAAACTTTCAGGGGTCGTACCCAATTTAACCCTGTAGAACTTTTTTGCGTGCCGTCTCTGCTTTCAATGGGACATAGATTCAGATTGTGCTTTCAATTTGGAAACTTTTTCCCCCTATGTAAATTTTTAGAAAACTGTATGGATCTCGAGATAAATGCCAAAAATAAATTACTTGTAATAAAACCATTATTTCTCAAACATACTTATTTGACATATCTCAAACATTTTATTGGAAAATAGAATGACCGAAAGTTTCCATACCGAATGAAATTCAGTTGCAAAATGATATTGAATTTTTTGAACACTATTATAATTAAAACTAGAAAAAACAAAGAAAAAATGTTTTTATTTCAAAAAAACTTCTCTTACTAGATTGCAAAATCGGAAATTGTATTTAGAAAATTCTAGGACACCCTGTATAACTGAAACTGGTTAAACTTTCGATATCAGGGACTGTATGACACACGGTCTAGGCGCTATACATCGCTAGACTGTCGCTTCTGACGGTTGAGGTGTTGTGTGTTTTAATAATTTAATCTCGTGAACGGCAGTTCTAATTTTATCAGTACCCTCAGAAGTGGTTCGGATTCCACTTTTATTTATCTCGAAATTCATACAGTTTTCGAAAAACATACATGGGGGGCAAAAAGTTTCCAAATTGCAGAGACAATCTGAATCTATGTCCCATTGAAAGCAAGACGGCACGCAAAAAAGTTTTACAGGGTTAAATTGGGTACGACCCCTGAAAGTCATCACCCTGTAGGTATTCAAAAACGCTCAATAGCCTCAAATATTGAGTTTTTGAAGTGTATTAGGTGTACCAAATTTCGATCAATTATTCCGAAAATTGTAGGAGAAAATTCAAAAAACATTAAAAAAATCTGAAACTGTGACACCCTGTGAATCGGAAACGAAGCTCCCACGCATATATATTTGTTTGAGATTTTCATCTTGAAAAAATGTCTTCTTCAAGCTGTTAAAGTCCTGCTACAAAAAACTGAAACACCCTGTATAAGTGTACGTCTATTATAGTTAACGAACCTATACTAACATTTATAATTTTCATTTTCAGGAATATGCCGGTTGCAGACTATCCGCGTATTTTCAGCTGAAACAAAAACTGTCAGGCTGTACACAACTGAAAAGGAAGATGGATGAACTGACAGTGTAAGGCGCCCTCTGCGAATATTCGATGAAGCTCCTCTTACGACCCGCGGTCTGAGGTCGATCATCAAACTTGACTGTGAACCCCCCCGTGAAGGCAGATCACGTAATGTGATATTTGATGTGAAAGTTAATATCTAATAATAGTATTATGATGGATAAATCCGATGCCTATATATTTATCACAATAACTATAATTCTACCAATAATCCGCACGTATGCATGATTTTCTGAATATTTCAGATTTCATTCTGTGAATTGTCGAATATATTATTTGAAGTGATCCGAGGCAGTGAAGCGAATTATTTTTATACTACTTTTGTGAGTTAATGTCTCTTTTGTTGATTGTTGAAGTGGATATTCTATTTTTTGACAGTTGTTAGTTGTTTTAGGTACTTATTTTATGTGACTTGATATTTATGTGTGAAGTTTAATTGCATTTTTATCTATATTTTCATTATGAGGTTATTGTTCTTTCGAGTTATAACTTATTTCAATCAATAAAGAATGGGAAATTTCAGTTAATTTATTGAATTATTTCATACCAACACCTATGCTGAACTTTAACCTCAAATCGTTTCAAATTGCTGCTCGAATGGAAATTCTGTAAAAGTTACGAAATATTATCACTCAAGCATAAAGAAATGGCCATATGCGCCTTCTTAGGCATTTGACAACACCTGTCATGAAGCAATAAAGATGAACCAGAGAATTGACCAAACCACATTTCTGAAATATGAATCGATTGATATTTATATTGTATAAGTCTATTCAATCCTATTTTCCCTATTGCTCCCCTATACTAGGGAATGTAAGTCGATGTGTGTATGTTTCGGCGAAACTCTCTTGATCTCAGGGGGTAGTTTATATGAGTCCACCCTGTATATGTGGTTTCTGGGAAGAAAACTCGCCAAGTCGGACAGACCAAATTTTGATTCCACCCAATCTTAGCATGCGTCTAAAAACTGACAGAGAAAACCAAATGCAACTATTTTTTTTTCACTATAAGCAATATATTTTAATGACGTAACTCACCTGACAGAACAGGCACACTGTTGCTGAAATAAGTATATTTCAGGACAGGTGAGAACACAAAGATACTGTGCAGTCAATGGCAATCACTTTCGAAATTGGGGAAAACTTTTTGGTTGACGATGACAGCTTGGATATATATTTTACTCACTCCCAACACGCCACAACGTTCGAAATTTTCACTTCATTATAAAAACGGGAGCTCGCTTCTTTCGGTATTCAACAAAAACTAGAAACAACCAAATAATTTTGAAACGAGGATTCGGACACAGGGGAGTACCCGTGGGGATAATGATAAAGTATGAAATGCTATACGATTGGGGTGATTATTTCGGGAAATGACTGGAATAAAGCAATCTCGTATTGGTTTCGCTACAAAATGTATATACATATAGAGTCCTTTTTCATTTCCTATTTTCTAAGAGGAAACTATGGCGAAGAATTGATCGGCTTCACTTTTATACAATTCGAATGGATTGGTCTCTATTTTATAAATGTGATGGATCATGGTGTCTTCTTATATTTTGACCCTAACCTAACCTCTGACCCCAGCCAAAAACTAAAATTTTCGATAAAAACTTAATCCCAAAGAACTGAACAGTTCAGATGGGAGTTCTGGATAGCACTAGAAGAGTTCTTCAATATAGTCTTATTGTGTTTTAGTGTGACAAATCGATACTTTTTCATTTATCTGCTGTCATAAGGTGCTGAACTCTAAGGTGCTGACCTCAAAAAAACATTTTCGATAAAAACTTAATTGCAAAGAACTGAACAGTTCTGATGGGAGTTCTGAATAGCGTTCGACTAGTTCTTCAAAATAGTCTCATGGAGTTTCAGAAAGAAATTGATACGACGTTTTCATTTATAGTTCTGAGTAGCGCTCGACAAGATCTTCAAAATATATTCTCAGTGTTTTAGAAAGAAATTGATATTTTTTCATTTATCAGCTGTCATGAAGTGCTGACCTCAAAAACCTGACATTTTCTATAAAAAAACGATTCGAAAGAACAGAACAGCTCTAATATGTGTTCTGAGTAGCACTCGACGAGTTCTTCAAAATATTTATACGTGTTTCAGATGTCATAAGGTGCTGAGGTTGTCAAGTGAACCATCATTCTTATACGAAACAACTCTATATAATGGTCTATAAAAAAATTGTTTCTATGAAATAAAACTCAAGATGAAACAAGAATTTCTCTATCTAGAATGACTCAAAATACATACTCTCTCAAAAACAAAACAGTTAAATAATTCTAAAATAAGATGATTTGTTCAAGAATTAAAAACATTCTTCTCCCAGCACACTAGACAAAAAACTCAAAAGTCTATGAATAAACATAAAACAAAATAAATGATCTCCGACCTGTCCTGAAATACTGTTCCTATATTTGAAGTGCAGCACCCAAACATAATCTGAAACTGCCAAAGGGCAATTCGTATTGTGGGCGATGCCTCGCTCACAAACTCACTCACTTCTCTAGAACACCGTAGAAAAGTTGGCGATCTGGCTCTATTTTATAGATATTTTTCATGGACGAAGCTCTTCTGGAATATCAACAATTGTTCCTCCCTTGGCAGTCCCCGCGAGATTAACCCGTCAAGTTGAGGTTTCGCACTATATCGTGGTCACTTTGGAGACCTGCAGAACATCTCTTTCCAAAGACTCGTTCATCCATCAACGAACAGCGAACACATTGCCAAGGGAGGTGTTTCCCGAGGCATATAACCTCCAGAAATATAAGAAGAACACCAATTCCTACCTTATTCACCTTGGTTCTCACGATTTTCTCTGGACATTACAAGATATATCCCTATTCGTGGGAACCAGAACATAAAAAAATGAAATAAGCAAAGGATTCGGTGAAGGATAACTTATATTACAGCCACAATATATCATCATACTCCATCATGGTAAAGGTAAGTACATAATTTTACGCGACTTCGGAAAATGGAAATCTGAATAATAGTCGGGAATCATGAAAGAACAAACTGTCAGTGTACATTCTAGATTGACCATATACCCACGGTGTTCCATGACGACAAGGGCAAACTTGGTGAGACTGTAGAGGACATATTATAGGCGAGTCTGAGTAACCTCATAAGGTCCTATAGCTTCCATATGGGATGTATAGTGTGATTCATTGAATGCGTCGAAAATTCAAATCCTTATATGCGGGGGTTCACCATCGACTGAAATAGTTCTCAAGATAGACCTATGTAACTTCCGATGTCTAAGTAAGAACATCCACGATGACCATCGACACCTTCAAATTGAAAAGCCATACATATTGGCTCTTACTGAGACACAGGTCAGTTCATCTATCAAAACGACCTATCTCTGCTCTGTCCTGGGTACGAACTCTACACACGTTTCAGATTCAAGGGAAGGTCTCTGCCTCTACTCTAAAACGAATATCTCATGTCAACGAGAAAAAACTTTGAAACCAAATAAGTTTGATGTCATGTGGTTCTAACTTGAGAGCCATAAACATACCAAATACCTTTGTTGTCTCTACTTATCACCAAATGATCCATCCTCCATGAAGAGCTCTTCGGATTCTTGTCTCTGAAGCTTGATCAAATTCAACAAAACCATCCAGCAGCAGAAATCATCACCATGGGCGATTTCAATGTACACAACACTGCTTGGCTCGTACACTCTAACAGAACGGATGAAGCTGGGCGACAAGCCGAAGCTTTCGCCATCACTCACGGCTTAGGCAGCTTTATCAAAGAACCCACACGAATTCCCGATGCCAATAACCATTCCGCTAATATACTTGATGACTAATTCCTCACTAATAATTCAGCACACTACACCATAGATGTACGAGCTCCAGGTGGCAATTCTGACCACACACTCATCTCCACAACCTGTCCATTTTTCATTCCATCAACCGCTCCGGCACCCCCACGTCTTATATGGCATTACAATTCAGGAGATTGGGACGGAGTTTCCTTGGCATAGAGTATGCTTTGACTCTGAGTACCCTTCACGTACAGTGTGCTGCGGAAATAGCCGAGATCATCATGCTCGGAATGGACACATACATAACTTATTCTTCGAAAAGTTCATCACCATCGAAACCCTGGTTCAACAAAAACTGTTCTGGAACTGTTGCCTTGAAACAAACAGCCTACCATCGCTGGCGCAAAAACCCTAACCTCGCGACTAGATCAGAATAGGTTGATTCCAGGAATACCTGCAGCCAAACAATAGATGCTCACTAATAATTCAGCACACTACACCATAGATGTACGAGCTCCAGTTGGCAATTCTGACCACACACTCATCTCCACAACCTGTCCATTTTTCATTCCATCAACCGCTCCGCCACCCCCACGTCTTATATGGCATTACAATTCAGGAGATTGGGACGGTCTCCGCATGTTTTTCTCCGAGTTTCCTTGGCATAGAGTATGCTTTGACTCTGAGTACCCTTCACGTACAGTGTGCTGCTGAAATAGCCGAGATCATCATGGTCGGAATGGACACATACACATACATCTTCGAAAAGATCATCACCATCGAAACCCTGGTTCAACAAAAACTGTTCTGGAACTGTTGCCTTGAAACAAACAGCCTACCATCGCTGGCGCAAAAATCCTAACCTCGCGACTAGATCAGAATACGTTGATGCCAGGAATACCTGCAGCCAAACAATAGATGCTTCGAAAGAAACATACAATGCCAAGATAAGATCGAAACTCATAGATTGTCCCAATGGCTCCCGTTCGTTTTGGTCCCTTGCTAAAGCGGTCGGAAGAAATTTCACTGATAATTCATTTTCACCACTGTCCAAATCCGACGGCACATTAGCACAACAACATCGCAGGAGAAAGCAAATATTTTTGCAGAGATGTTCGCAGCAAACTCTACTTCAGATTCCCAAGGAAAAATGCCGCCAGACATTCCACCCGTTGAGAGTCGAATGCCCGAAATCGTCTTCCGTCAACGCACTATCAGACGAATTC